TCGTCGTCGCCGCTAATTAACGCTAGTAGTGGCCGTGAGTACTTACAATTGTGATTCAGCTGAGACAACTCCAGCGCCGCGCACTTGTACCGATGTCTAGACTCCAGCGTGGGTATCACGATACCGATCACCAGGCTCGAGTCCTTCTCGTGGTAGCACACCAGGGCGTCGCATTCCTTCCCATCTGCAATGCATAGTCATGTGGTTTCGTGATTACTCGTGCTTCTTCGCTCTGTCAACTGGACCAAGCTGAACCAAACGGACCAACCAAACGAGAAGCAAACAGGGTTGAAACAGTTAATTCAGCTTTTGGACAGACGAAAGAATGGTTTGCAGTATCTCTCAGTTTACTTGTCTTTAGTTCTTCTACATAATTTTTATAGGATCTTAAAGGAAGAAGACAGAAGGTTGTATGATTAAACTGAAAGTAAAATCTGCGAATTCATTTCAGGAAATGGACATATTTTTTCGTTTTAAATATTATTTACTACTATATTAGTAGAAATATAGATATATGAGACACAATATTTTTAGAATGTTATATAAATATTAAAAAGAGTAAACAATATTCATAATATAACATTCTGGGAATACTTTGTGTTTATAAGACAGATTTGAAAATTTGTTATAGCTACCAAATATTGAGTGAAGTAGTTCCAACTAAATGTTGAGGTAATATAACTAAATATAACTTTACCTTTACAAATATTTAGTATCACCAAACGTGGGTGCTTTCCAGCGAGAGACACAGAGGACACAGTGTAACACAGTGAATCGTTACATCCTCGTTGTTTGCTAATGTTAAACAAAGATGACATGATCACCGTGTCACGCTGGGTCGCTTGTTGAAAAGCACCAGGAAAGCAACAGTAATATTTAATTACCTTATATTGAGTCATGAGATAATATTTATGTTACCTTAACGTTTAGTTGAAACTATTTCACTTAATATTTGGTAGCTATAACTAGACTTCTCTTTCAGTGCAGTTTCATAAGAAGATAGTTTATAAGAATTCCCTGCTGTTTGAGTTCTTTCATAGGTTTGAGGGTTGAGTTAACAAACCTCTCGAAAAACACAAGATATGTGCGACAAATATTGAAATCTCTAGATCGATGTCTGATCCTCGATCGATCATCGAATCTTCCAAATCCGATGGGACAA